GTGCTATATACACAGGGGGGGGGGGATATCCGAATATTGATCGGGGGGTCTGACTTTAGACTTTGTTTAATCTGCTTCTATATGGCCTCCCCTGCCCCCCTCCCCCCTCATCAGCATTATAATGACATTATTACATTAAATAAACCTTCTCTGCGCTTCTCTATGTAATGCAGGCAGATCATGGCAGGTGGGAGGGGCAGATCATGGCTGGTGGGAGGGGCCAGCGGGAGGCTGTACATGGCTTCCTGAAAACATCACAGCACCCTGAGTCAGTACTTCTCTCCAGAGCCCTCAGCCCTGATGACAGCAGTGGGAGGAGTTATGAAAATATCAAACTGTCTTGATGGGCGGGTGTCAGTCTGGAAGGAGTGGGCGTTCCTAGGCAGGCTTCATTTGCATAGAGACCACCCACATGTGATGCTGAGGCTCCATGATTCAAAGAACTGGAATCCAATGAATGAAAGGGGCGGGGCCAAGGACAGTCAGGCTGGGGGCGAAAGGACTAGGTGATGCTGGACGTCCTCAAGCCAGGATATGAGGCGGAGCTCTATATGACTTGCTGCAGCTTCTAATGCACATTGTGAGGAGCTCCCAGTGTGCAGTGACATCAGAGGGAGGGGAGGAGCCGGTACATCTGTGGAAGACTGAAGGGAAGGACGGAGGTCAGATAGAAGAATGAAGGGGAGGACGGAGGTCAGATAGAAGACTGAAGGGGAGGACGGAGGTCAGATAGAAGACTGAAGGGAAGGACGGAGGTCAGATGTAAGACTGAAGTGGAGAACGGAGGTCAGATAGAAGACTGAAGGGGAGGACGGAGGTCAGATAGACTATAAATGTCATGTGTTACCGGTCAGTGAACCTCCTCTGGAATGATATGAGAGGCTCCTGAGTGTGGGGATGGATTTGCCTGTGCTGGGTGGTGCTATGAGGACCTCTAGTGGCGATACTATATACTGCAGTCACCTTCTATTGAGGGGTAACAATGGAGCCTTCTATTCACCTACATGGGAGGAGTCACAATGATGTCACTTCCTGTGCTGGGACATATTTTAGAGAAAACAGAAACATAAGAAATATAGAAAATATAAAAACAATATTTTTATTATAAATGGAACCGCAGAAGCGAAGGCTTGCCGTGTGCAGGGAGTCTGACATACGTGTGAATATCATTCTATTACCGGAGAGGACAACCTCGGCCTTCAGCTGCTGTGAAACTACAAACCCCATGAGACACCACAAGACTCCACAGGAATGACTGCTAGAGACATGCTGGGATTTGTAGTTTCAGCACAGCCAGGGGGGGCCAAGCTTGCTCTATTGTGACTTCCACCCAGAATGTTTCCTATTACCTGAGTCAGCCAATCAGAGGGCAGTGCGACGTGCAGACACGGGGGGCTCAGTTCACCAAGATCTTTATTTCTGTCATGTGACTTTCATTCTCAGATCTCATTGGCTGAAAATGATTTTTGGGAATGTGTTTCCTGGTACTGGCCTGTCTCTGGTCACACATGACATTCATCTGACCTGGAGGTGCGGGTCCATGGGAAGAAGTGGGGAGCATGGCGGAGTAGGGAACGGGGGCGCACAGGCCGTTGGTTGGGGGAGTCTTCTGGGGGCCACAGATCAGCCAAGCCCCATCTCATGTCCATGTAGAACTTCTAGTTCCTGATGGTTATCCATACGGGGGACAGGTCCCCATTATTGGACACAGAAAACCCGGCATGGAGGGGCTCAGTGGAGGTGCAGGTCCATGGGAAGAAGTGGGGAGCATGGCGGAGTAGGGAACGGGGGCGCACAGGCCGTTGGTTGGGGGAGTCTTCTGGGGGCCCCAGATCAGCCAAGCCCCATCTCATGTCCATGTAGAACTTCTAGTTCCTGATGGTTATCCATACGGGGGACAGGTCCCCATTATTGGACACAGAAAACCCGGCATGGAGGGGCTCAGTGGAGGTGCAGGTCCATGGGAAGAAGTGGGGAGCATGGCGGAGTAGGGAACGGGGGCGCACAGGCAGTTGGTTGGGGGAGTCTTCTGGGGGCCACAGATCAGCCAAGCCCCATCTCATGTCCATGTAGACCTTCTAGTTCCTGATGGTTATCCATACGGGGGACAGGTCACCATTATTGGACACAGAAAACCCGGCATGGAGGGGCACGGTGAAGGTGGTGGAGAAAGGACGGAGGTCAGATAGAAGACTGAAGGGAAGGACGGAGGTCAGATGTAAGACTGAAGTGGAGAACGGAGGTCAGATAGAAGACTGAAGGGGAGGACGGAGGTCAGATAGACTATAAATGTCATGTGTTACCGGTCAGTGAACCTCCTCTGGAATGATATGAGAGGCTCCTGAGTGTGGGGATGGATTTGCCTGTGCTGGGTGGTGCTATGAGGACCTCTAGTGGCGATACTATATACTGCAGTCACCTTCTATTGAGGGGTAACAATGGAGCCTTCTATTCACCTACATGGGAGGAGTCACAATGATGTCACTTCCTGTGCTGGGACATATTTTAGAGAAAACAGAAACATAAGAAATATAGAAAATATAAAAACAATATTTTTATTATAAATGGAACCGCAGAAGCGAAGGCTTGCCGTGTGCAGGGAGTCTGACATACGTGTGAATATCATTCTATTACCGGAGAGGACAACCTCGGCCTTCAGCTGCTGTGAAACTACAAACCCCATGAGACACCACAAGACTCCACAGGAATGACTGCTAGAGACATGCTGGGATTTGTAGTTTCAGCACAGCCAGGGGGGGCCAAGCTTGCTCTATTGTGACTTCCACCCAGAATGTTTCCTATTACCTGAGTCAGCCAATCAGAGGGCAGTGCGACGTGCAGACACGGGGGGCTCAGTTCACCAAGATCTTTATTTCTGTCATGTGACTTTCATTCTCAGATCTCATTGGCTGAAAATGATTTTTGGGAATGTGTTTCCTGGTACTGGCCTGTCTCTGGTCACACATGACATTCATCTGACCTGGAGGTGCGGGTCCATGGGAAGAAGTGGGGAGCATGGCGGAGTAGGGAACGGGGGCGCACAGGCCGTTGGTTGGGGGAGTCTTCTGGGGGCCACAGATCAGCCAAGCCCCATCTCATGTCCATGTAGAACTTCTAGTTCCTGATGGTTATCCATACGGGGGACAGGTCCCCATTATTGGACACAGAAAACCCGGCATGGAGGGGCTCAGTGGAGGTGCAGGTCCATGGGAAGAAGTGGGGAGCATGGCGGAGTAGGGAACGGGGGCGCACAGGCCGTTGGTTGGGGGAGTCTTCTGGGGGCCACAGATCAGCCAAGCCCCATCTCATGTCCATGTAGACCTTCTAGTTCCTGATGGTTATCCATACGGGGGACAGGTCACCATTATTGGACACAGAAAACCCGGCATGGAGGGGCTCGGTGGAGGTGCAGGTCCATGGGAAGAAGTGGGGAGCATGGCGGAGTAGGGAACGGGGGCGCACAGGCAGTTGGTTGGGGGAGTCTTCTGGGGGCCACAGATCAGCCAAGCCCCATCTCATGTCCATGTAGACCTTCTAGTTCCTGATGGTTATCCATACGGGGGACAGGTCACCATTATTGGACACAGAAAACCCGGCATGGAGGGGCACGGTGAAGGTGGTGGAGAAGGTGTGGAGGTGCCGGATCGGGATGGACAGCTCATAAAAGGAGAGGCGCCCGGCCTCACAGTCCAGGTACACCCCGAACCTGTTACAGGACACCCCCTGGTCTATGTCTATGAAAGCGTTGTCATGTGCCACTAAGTAGCGATTCGAGGTATTCACATTCCACTTACACATACACCAAGACTTGCCATCGCTCCCCAAGCTGGACGTCCGCTCCATACTGGGGTAAGCGACCCCGAAATCGCAGTCTCCCAGTTCACTGGTCTCCACTTCCCAGTAATGGCGTCCGGAGGAAAAGCTCCTGGAGCTGAACACCAGACCACAGTCCTGAGAGCCGTCTGCCGGGTCCTCCTCACATGGAAGGGAAATGGTCTTCAGGTCATGTGATATCCGCACATTGCGGGCGGCCGTGCTCACATCCAGGAGAACCTCGGCAGGACCTTGCACATAGATTCCTCTCATCACTCCACTCATGAGGTCAGATAAACCAGTATGTACCATCTCAGAGATGAGACCCTCATCCAGGTCACCAGAATACAGGTCCTCGTCCCCCTCATCGGGGTCACAGAAGTCCTCTCCGTCCACATCCTCTCCCATTATAACAGTCAGAGGGTCATGGACCCCACAAAGCTCCTCCATACGTTGGATCCTGCGGGACAGCTTGTCCTTCTTTAGTTCCAGCTGCTGGATCAGATCGGAGAATGAGAGTATAACCTCATGGTGGCGGGAGATCTCGGTCAGGATTCTCCTCTCCAGGTCCTCCAGTTGTGTCCTGATGTCTCTGAACAGAGCCATGACCCCCCCTGTTACACCGTCGACTCTTTCCTGGGCCCTATGTCTGCGTTCCCGCACTTGCTGGACCCTTTCCTCCATCTTCCTTCTCTTCACATACATGTCTTTCATATCCTTCCTGAGCTGGTCCTTCTTATTCTCAGAGACCTCACGGAGCGCCTTCACCGGGTGCCCTTGGTGGTCCCCATCCAGCCTGCAGGAGGCACAGATTAAGGTGGAGTCTTGGGCGCAGTAATACTCCAGGATCTTCCTATGGACGGAGCACTTCCTGTTCCCCAAAGAAGCGGCAGGGTCACATAAGACGTGCTCCGGTGACTTCCTGTGGAATCTCAGATGGTTGTCGCACAGAGACACTTCACAGTGCAGACAGGATTTCACCGCCGGTACCGGGATCTGGATGCACTGGCCACAGAAGATCCCGTTCTCCGGCTGCTCCGGCTTTGAAGGGCTGAAACACTCCACCAGGTTCGCCAGCCGGATGCTTCTCCTCAGCTCGGGGCGCTTCCTGTATCTCCGCTGGCACTCTGGGCAGGCGGACTCGTCCTTCTCCTGGCTGTCCCATGTGCGTGTGATGCAGCCCTGGCAGAAGCTGTGCCCGCATGGCAGGGTCACCGGATCTTTAAATATCTCCACACAGACTGAGCAAGTCAGTTCGACTCTGGGATCGGGAGACGCCATGGCCAGACCCTCCGGGAGCCCAGCGCTGCTGTATACAGGCTGGGAGACGGGTTCAGTGCGAGTGTATTGTCTGCAGGAATGTGACCCAACCTTACCCGACTGGTCTGACAACCTGAGATGTGGGTGAAACCCCATCACCGCTCCCCACCTGCCAGTTATGGGACTTTTCCAGGATTTCCAGCTAAGAATAGTTTTTATGTCATGTACACAGTTCTAGAGAAGGCGACAACCAAATGTACAATGTTATCAGGATCAGCACTGAGAGAACAGCAAAATAGTGACCGAGAGAGCAAGGAAACTGTCATAGAGAGCAACCTTTCCTCCCATCCCCCACAGTACTTGTGTCTCTGCCCCTCCCACAATGGTGAGATTTCCTCCAGTAGTTTTGGTCTCTGCCCCTCCCACAATGATGAGATTTCCTCCAGTAGTTTTGGTCTCTGCCCCTCCCACAATGATGAGATTTCCTCCAGTAGTTTTGGTCTCTGCCCCTCCCACAATGATGAGATTTCCTCCAGTAGTTTTGGTCTCTGCCCCTCCCACAATGATGAGATTTCCTCCAGTAGTTTTGGTCTCTGCCCCTCCCACAATGATGAGATTTCCTCCAGTAGTTTTGGTCTCTGCCCCTCCCACAATGATGAGATTTCCTCCAGTAGTTTTGGTCTCTGCCCCTCCCACAATGATGAGATTTCCTCCAGTAGTTTTGGTCTCTGCCCCTCCCACAATGATGAGATTTCCTCCAGTAGTTTTGGTCTCTGCCCCTCCCACAATGATGAGATTTCCTCCAGTAGTTTTGGTCTCTGCCCCTCCCACAATGATGAGATTTCCTCCAGTAGTTTTGGTCTCTGCCCCTCCCACAATGATGAGATTTCCTCCAGTAGTTTTGGTCTCTGCCCCTCCCACAATGATGAGATTTCCTCCAGTAGTTTTGGTCTCTGCCCCTCCCACAATGATGAGATTTCCTCCAGTAGTTTTGGTCTCTGCCCCTCCCACAATGATGAGATTTCCTCCAGTAGTTTTGGTCTCTGCCCCTCCCACAATGATGAGATTTCCTCCAGTAGTTTTGGTCTCTGCCCCTCCCACAATGATGAGATTTCCTCCAGTAGTTTTGGTCTCTGCCCCTCCCACAATGATGAGATTTCCTCCAGTAGTTTTGGTCTCTGCCCCTCCCACAATGATGAGATTTCCTCCAGTAGTTTTGGTCTCTGCCCCTCCCACAATGATGAGATTTCCTCCAGTAGTTTTGGTCTCTGCCCCTCCCACAATGATGAGATTTCCTCCAGTAGTTTTGGTCTCTGCCCCTCCCACAATGATGAGATTTCCTCCAGTAGTTTTGGTCTCTGCCCCTCCCACAATGATGAGATTTCCTCCAGTAGTTTTGGTCTCTGCCCCTCCCACAATGATGAGATTTCCTCCAGTAGTTTTGGTCTCTGCCCCTCCCACAATGATGAGATTTCCTCCAGTAGTTTTGGTCTCTGCCCCTCCCACAATGATGAGATTTCCTCCAGTAGTTTTGGTCTCTGCCCCTCCCACAATGATGAGATTTCCTCCAGTAGTTTTGGTCTCTGCCCCTCCCACAATGATGAGATTTCCTCCAGTAGTTTTGGTCTCTGCCCCTCCCACAATGATGAGATTTCCTCCAGTAGTTTTGGTCTCTGCCCCTCCCACAATGATGAGATTTCCTCCAGTAGTTTTGGTCTCTGCCCCTCCCACAATGATGAGATTTCCTCCAGTAGTTTTGGTCTCTGCCCCTCCCACAATGATGAGATTTCCTCCAGTAGTTTTGGTCTCTGCCCCTCCCACAATGATGAGATTTCCTCCAGTAGTTTTGGTCTCTGCCCCTCCCACAATGATGAGATTTCCTCCAGTAGTTTTGGTCTCTGCCCCTCCCACAATGATGAGATTTCCTCCAGTAGTTTTGGTCTCTGCCCCTCCCACAATGATGAGATTTCCTCCAGTAGTTTTGGTCTCTGCCCCTCCCACAATGATGAGATTTCCTCCAGTAGTTTTGGTCTCTGCCCCTCCCACAATGATGAGATTTCCTCCAGTAGTTTTGGTCTCTGCCCCTCCCACAATGATGAGATTTCCTCCAGTAGTTTTGGTCTCTGCCCCTCCCACAATGATGAGATTTCCTCCAGTAGTTTTGGTCTCTGCCCCTCCCACAATGATGAGATTTCCTCCAGTAGTTTTGGTCTCTGCCCCTCCCACAATGATGAGATTTCCTCCAGTAGTTTTGGTCTCTGCCCCTCCCACAATGATGAGATTTCCTCCAGTAGTTTTGGTCTCTGCCCCTCCCACAATGATGAGATTTCCTCCAGTAGTTTTGGTCTCTGCCCCTCCCACAATGATGAGATTTCCTCCAGTAGTTTTGGTCTCTGCCCCTCCCACAATGATGAGATTTCCTCCAGTAGTTTTGGTCTCTGCCCCTCCCACAATGATGAGATTTCCTCCAGTAGTTTTGGTCTCTGCCCCTCCCACAATGATGAGATTTCCTCCAGTAGTTTTGGTCTCTGCCCCTCCCACAATGATGAGATTTCCTCCAGTAGTTTTGGTCTCTGCCCCTCCCACAATGATGAGATTTCCTCCAGTAGTTTTGGTCTCTGCCCCTCCCACAATGATGAGATTTCCTCCAGTAGTTTTGGTCTCTGCCCCTCCCACAATGATGAGATTTCCTCCAGTAGTTTTGGTCTCTGCCCCTCCCACAATGATGAGATTTCCTCCAGTAGTTTTGGTCTCTGCCCCTCCCACAATGATGAGATTTCCTCCAGTAGTTTTGGTCTCTGCCCCTCCCACAATGATGAGATTTCCTCCAGTAGTTTTGGTCTCTGCCCCTCCCACAATGATGAGATTTCCTCCAGTAGTTTTGGTCTCTGCCCCTCCCACAATGATGAGATTTCCTCCAGTAGTTTTGGTCTCTGCCCCTCCCACAATGATGAGATTTCCTCCAGTAGTTTTGGTCTCTGCCCCTCCCACAATGATGAGATTTCCTCCAGTAGTTTTGGTCTCTGCCCCTCCCACAATGATGAGATTTCCTCCAGTAGTTTTGGTCTCTGCCCCTCCCACAATGATGAGATTTCCTCCAGTAGTTTTGGTCTCTGCCCCTCCCACAATGATGAGATTTCCTCCAGTAGTTTTGGTCTCTGCCCCTCCCACAATGATGAGATTTCCTCCAGTAGTTTTGGTCTCTGCCCCTCCCACAATGATGAGATTTCCTCCAGTAGTTTTGGTCTCTGCCCCTCCCACAATGATGAGATTTCCTCCAGTAGTTTTGGTCTCTGCCCCTCCCACAATGATGAGATTTCCTCCAGTAGTTTTGGTCTCTGCCCCTCCCACAATGATGAGATTTCCTCCAGTAGTTTTGGTCTCTGCCCCTCCCACAATGATGAGATTTCCTCCAGTAGTTTTGGTCTCTGCCCCTCCCACAATGATGAGATTTCCTCCAGTAGTTTTGGTCTCTGCCCCTCCCACAATGATGAGATTTCCTCCAGTAGTTTTGGTCTCTGCCCCTCCCACAATGATGAGATTTCCTCCAGTAGTTTTGGTCTCTGCCCCTCCCACAATGATGAGATTTCCTCCAGTAGTTTTGGTCTCTGCCCCTCCCACAATGATGAGATTTCCTCCAGTAGTTTTGGTCTCTGCCCCTCCCACAATGATGAGATTTCCTCCAGTAGTTTTGGTCTCTGCCCCTCCCACAATGATGAGATTTCCTCCAGTAGTTTTGGTCTCTGCCCCTCCCACAATGATGAGATTTCCTCCAGTAGTTTTGGTCTCTGCCCCTCCCACAATGATGAGATTTCCTCCAGTAGTTTTGGTCTCTGCCCCTCCCACAATGATGAGATTTCCTCCAGTAGTTTTGGTCTCTGCCCCTCCCACAATGATGAGATTTCCTCCAGTAGTTTTGGTCTCTGCCCCTCCCACAATGATGAGATTTCCTCCAGTAGTTTTGGTCTCTGCCCCTCCCACAATGATGAGATTTCCTCCAGTAGTTTTGGTCTCTGCCCCTCCCACAATGAGGAGATTTCCTCCAGTAGTTGGTGTCTCTGCCCCTCCCACAATGAGCGCCTGTATTCCTTCCTGAACCGGTTCCCTTTGTCATTGTGGGGCGCCGTATCGCCCCTATACTATAGACCCCCTCCTAGAACGTGGAAATACCAGTCAGGAGGGGCGATGTGATTGGCCCCTACACTCTCATGTCACACGCTGGGAAACGCCGGGCGCTCAAAAAGGTTTATGAGCTTTTTTGGGGGTCTTTTTGCGCACGTTTGGCCCCTTAGGCTTCAATAGAAAATCCTGGAAAACATGTGACCATTTTTGTATGTGTGTTTATTGCGTGTTTATTGCGTATTTAGAAGGGGTGTAACAAATGCGCAAAAACGTGCAAACTACATAAGCAAAACTGCGCAAAAAAACGGTGACGCCTAGGTGTGAATGCAGCCAGATTGTGACAAGCTGCCCTTCTTCCATGATGTAGTACCCCACACTGTCCACTGAGGGCAGCAGAGTACCCCCCCATCTTCTAGCCACCGTTCCCCTCTCCGTCAACGCACGGAGCAGTACCTCAGAGCAGCCACCGAAGGCAGCAGAACACCTCCCACATCCAATCTTATATCCCTGTTCTTTTCTAAGTACGTTGCAGTACCGAAGAGCTGCCACCAGGGGCAGTAGAGCACCTCCCATCTCCGTTCTCACATCTCCGTTCTTTTCTATGTTAACTCCAGTACCCAAAAGTAGCCAGAGAGGGAGTAGAAGTAACCCGCGCCTCCTGCAACTAGCGGAGGGAACAAGGCGTCCGGCGTTGCTATGGAGTCCGGGTGGCGGTCGCAGGAAATACGTCACTGCGCCCGTTCAAATCTGAGGGAGCCACAGCTGAGCCGGTGAGGTTTGTAAACATTGGAATAACATTACATTTACCTCAGTCACAGAATTAGAAGGACATTGTATGCACTGCCTAAGCCTCATAAGCTGCTGTCAGGGGTAGAGGGGAGCTTAGTGTACATATCTCCGAGGGAGGGAGACAGCACACATCGAGGTTCCTTCACTGAGGGATTAGAGCCTGTTCACGGTGCACAGAATATCCAATGAGGAGTGAGCTCGCTACACCAGGCCGAAAAACAAATCCCCGTGATACTGACCCCCATCATCGCCCCCAGGGACTTCCTCTGCTCCAAACCACCCCC